TCATTACACTCGCCTGTTCCTGAACCGACACATCTCTCCTAACCCTTATGCACGGCAGCTCTACGGACAGTCCTGTCGGGCCCTCGGGTCCGCGCCTGAAGGACATCTCCGTGGAAGAAGGAAGAAGAGAAAGCAACAAACATGGGCTTCGGAATCAGAGGAGCCATCTGCGATTCTGTATTCACCTCTCCACCTGCATTGCGGAGACTGATTTAAATCTCACGGGGTCGATAGAAACGTGGAATGGTCATATTGTAAAACACATCCATCTTTTTCCTTAGACTTCTGCCCCTCTCTAAATAGGACCACCTTTTCCTGGCTCTGTCTTGTGTTATTCTGCTGTTGACTGCCATCGTGTTGGTCCGTGGCTCACGGTGACCCCATGCTAGGTTCTACTGGCTGACTTCCAAGATAGATTGCCACACAGACCATGCTCCCCCCCGGGTCTCAGCCTGCACGTCCACTGAACGTGCTCAGCATCCCTGCAACACACCAGCCCCTCAGACAGACAGGTGTTGTCTCTCTGCGAGGGGCTCTGGCCAGGAACAGCACCTGTGCCTCGCACCTGGCAGGGGAGAACTCTACCTCTCAACGGGAGCGTGGTAAGGACTCCGGAACAAAGGGCCGTAGGAAACACGACAAAGAGGCAGGGATGCCCAATCGGGTGTTGGCTGTCTGGAGAATGCCCTTCTTCGCAGCGTCTGGGGGAAGCAGTGGGCAGGAGGCAGCATGGCAATGGCAGACAACTGGGTCAGTGACTGCCTGTGTGTGCGGGCCAGTCTCTGCTGGAGATCCCACGAGTGCCCAGCACGCACGCACGCATGCCCCATGACTGAGACCAGTTCCAAAAGGAATGAGAAGGTAAATACATTTTTACCTTCTAATGATATATTTTTTTAATTGCAGTTTCCCTTAAATCACGTCTTCACCTAGATTTTAAAATACCTACCGTTTAAAACAAACAAAAAACATATTGTCGAGAATGAGGGGGTCAGAGCAGAGATCCGAAGCCTGTCTGTAGACAAGGGGACATCCCCCCACAGAGGGGTCACAGGGAAGGGATGAGTCAAGCGGGGCGCAGTAAAGCACCGATGAAACACACAATATTCCTCTGGTTCCTGAGGCTTCCACACCCCCACTATCATGACCCCAGTCCTGCCTCTCACTTTGGACTAGACCGGAGCAAGTGCACAGGTAAGAGCTCGGAATCCAGGAACAGGACTGGGAATGGCGATACCAGAAGGGCAGGGCGAAGGTTGGGAAAGGAGGGGAGGAAGGAGGAACCGATCTGGTTGATCGACACAACCACACACACCTCATCCAGGGGGACGAACCACAGAAGCCATGGGGGAAGAGAGAGTGGTGGGTGCAAGATGTGAAAATAGTAATAATTTACAATTTATGGAGGGGTCATAAGGGTAGGAGGGAGGGAAAAAAAGGAGCTGATGCCAAGAGCTTAGTAGAAAGTAAATGTCTAGAAAATAATGATGGCAACATATGTACAAATATGCTTGATATAATTGAAGTATGAATTGTTATATATCTACTGTTTATGAAAGCAAATTTTGTTCTTTACAAAGAATATAATTAGAATTATAAAAGACGGCATGCTATCAAAATATTTTTAAATGAACAACAGGTTATGAAACTTTTACCATTTGTTTGCATGTTAAGGAATTTTAATGCTTGCATTGCATTTGGTGGCTTAAATATAATAAAATTTATTTACTCAAGTCTTATGAATTCCTGGAAATGTAGGCTGCTTCCAATTTTCAGAACTATAGGTAATTTAAATCTAATTTGTAAATGTTTTGTAAACTTTGTAAATTGAAGTTTAATTTGTAAATGTTTTCACACATCTCTGATAATTTCATGGGCTCTTGTTAGCTGCAAACAATCAGCTTTCCTCCTCCCAATTCACAGTGCATCATCAATAAACATTAAAAATATCTTTAACAAAGTTATTATTACAATGTTAAATAATAAATGACCAAAGTTAGAGGCTTCTGAACCTTTGTAAGAGAATGCCCTCTAGATTGTATTAACTCAGGCTTATCCTTTAAATAATAGTAGGTACAGCCTATTTCTCCATCTTGCCGACAAGTACGTGATAAGAGACTTTACCATATATTTTGCTAATATCCAAAACCAAAAAATCAAGTTCACGTCCATCGAATCAAGTCCACTCATAGAAACCCTATAAACCACAACCAAACTCACTGCCATCGGTCGAGGCTGACTCACAGCGGCCCTACAGGACAGGCAGAACTGCCCCCATGACTGACCGGGAGTAGAATGCCCTCTCTTCCTCCCAGGGACTGGCTGGTGGTTTTGAACAACTGACCTTGCAGTAGCAGCCCAACAGGTAACCACTATACCACCAGGGCAGCTGTATAGCTATGACATCTCTTTGACTGGTGTTTCTGGTATCCTATCGTGAGCGTGTACTCGGGCATGAACTGTTTTGAGAATTCACCTTGGTGAGGGAGACAAAGAGTGGCTTCGAGGACAGCAAAGAGGAGGCACTGCTCCACCAGGCAGGACAGAGCTGGGAAAAGACGATGCTCTGAGAGACCAGAAAGCAACGGAGTACTTCAACCGGAGTCGCTCCTGCTTACCGATCCACGCCGTTGTACTCACGTGATAGTTACCCACAGCTCGAGAGCCAACAATAAGCCCAAGAGCAAAGAGGCAAAGGAGAACTGACATTAATGATACAGTATGTTTTTTTACTATAATGCTACTTGTGTTATTGACTGATTGGTCTGCAAGCAAACGAAGTACTGTCTATAATTATGCTTCTCCTTCGACATCTGAAGAACGGTGGCATTTCCTGGTGGTTGTTTTTATTTATTTTTTTAAATCGTTTTATTAGGGGCTCATACAACTCTTATCACAATCCATACATACATCAATTGTGTAAACCACATTTGTAAATTCTTTGCCCTCATCATTCTCAAAACATTTACTCTTCGCCTAAGCCCCTGGCAACAGCTCCTCATTTTTTCCCCTCCCTCCCTGCTCCCTACTCCCTAATGAACCCCACCCTCCCGGTATCACCACTCTCACCACTGGTCTTGAAGGGATCATCTGTCCTGGATTCCCTGTGTTTCCAGTTCCTATCTGTACCAGTATACATCCTCTGGTCTAGCCAGATTTGTAAGGTGGAATTGGGATCATGATAGTGGGGGAGGAGGAAGCATTTAGGAACTACAGGAAAATTGTATGTTTCATTGTTGCTACATTGCACCCTGACTGGCTCGTCTCCTCCCCAAGACCCTTCTGTAAGTGGATGTCCAGTGGCCTACAAATGGGCTTTGGGTCTCCACTCCACACTCCCCGCCTCATTCACTATGATGTGATTTTTTATTTTGATACCTGATCCCTTCAACACCTCGTGATCACAGACTGGTGTGCTTCTTCCATGTGGGCTTTGTTGCTTTTGAGCTAGATGGCCGCTTGTTTACCTTCAAGCCTTTAAGACCCCAGATGCTATATCTTTTGATAGCCTGGCACCATCAGCTTT